TTCAAATGTTGACTCACTTTGTTGCAAATATGACCATGGGAGTGATGACATTTAGGAACACCAGATTTGAGGGAGACTCGCGTTCTCGATGGTTAGATTCCATTTGGATGCATGTATATTAGTTTATAATAGATATAATTACATGTAATTTTATATATTTATTTCAATCTATATTAAACCTTTGTATATCAAATAGATGGAATATTTTCAGATATTGACAAACCTCCCTAAAGGGTCATGAAAACTTTTACAGGAACAAGCTTGATCAAATGGAGGATGAACATGTATAAAATCATAATATCTAACTATATTCAATCAATACATCATATGTTACTGATATGTACATTTTTATAATTTTCTTTGTAGGTCAAGTGGATGCCTTATGAATTGGTTTTAGCTTCACTACTAGATATTTACAGAGATGGTGAAGATATATGGCATGCCCGAGTACCGATTATATGTTTTGAGATTGTCGAAATGCACGTGCCCGATCGTGTGCTTCGATAATTTGGATTAGAACATATTCTGGATCCTGTAGAAAGAATAGAGTGAAATCTCCGAAAAGAAGCACATCATCAAAATTATGAGAATACTCGTCATGCTTACATTGATAATTGAGAGTTAATGGAGGATGCTGTAGTGATGGAGAGGGCTGACGCACCAGCACTAGATGTGTACTTACGTTGGTATTGGGGGGTTACTCGCCGATGGATATTTTGGGAAAATAAAGCACCTAAGGAGTATATGCCGAGAGGTCTAGTTAAAAGAGAGTTGGTAAGTATATAGGCAAAATATAAAATTATTTTGTGATTATTATTTTTATTATCATCCAATTGCTAATAATCCTCTTTCGTTTTTTATCTTATAGGTACAAGCACTCAATGAGGTTGCTTCTATTGTACATGATGTATTGAGATCGACTACCGAGCCAGGAGCGAGGAACGCATATGTTCGCATTATAGAAAAGATTCAGTTCACTCTTAGAAAGACGCGTCATGCAAATCATGATGAACGTGAGGACCGACTCATAGGGTACGAGTGTCGATGGGTTCAAGGATACATGAGGGCGAGCTCAAGTCGTGCATATGATGAAGCAGGATGCTCACAGCAAGCTCAAGCCAGATGTTCACAGCAGGTTCAAGTCGACGAGGATGTCATGCGCTCACAAGTTCACACACAACCAGACGAGATCATTCAAGCTCATGTTGAAGGTGAACGGGGAGAGGAAAAAGAGGAAGAGTGCGAGGGAAAGCGAGAGGAAAGAGAGCTTTAAATATTTGCTAAATTTCGATATTGCTTGTTTTGTGATGTTTATGTTTGAAATGTTAGTTGGAAACTATGATGTTTATATTGCTTGTTCTAAATATTTGTTGAATTACATGTTATGTTTTTTTTAAAGATTGGTTATAGATGTAATATACATATGAATATATGTGTTTATTTGTGATTGAAATTGATTATGGATTGATATATGAGTAGCAAGAGAGTTTATGTTAAACTTGACAATTTTAGTCGAGGATTGATATATGCTAGCTGGAGACGAAATTTTCCAACAAGTATGTGGACTGGAGGGTCTCTGCCAAATGGTCAGGTTTGGAAACCCCAACCATTTCATGCAGGCCATGAGAACCCTCTACCAAATGGTCGGGGTTAGGACCCCGACCATTTGCTACAAGTTTGTGCCAAATGGTCGGGGTTGGGAACCGCGATCATTTGGTGGCGGCAAGCATACGTCTGCTAAACGATCGGGGTTGGGAACCCCGACAAAAATAGTCGGGTTTCGCAATCCCGACTTATTTAGCTCTGCTAATTGCGCAGAGAATCTAAGAGGGGGAGAAAGGTAGCTCTAATTAGTCAGGGTTAGCAACCCCGACTAATTAGGAACTTAATTTTTTTAGAATGATCCAGTTTTTTAAAACGATGTTGACGTGGCTAGAAATTGAGTTAATTTTTGTAATAAAAATAGGACTGGGTGGATTTTTAAAAAATTATGGATTAGGTCTTTTTTGAAAATTTCTTCCTCAGCATATCTATGCACATACCAAACGTAAAGATTGCAAACATAAGAAATAAAAGCTATATTTGTTTATTTCTTTGAAATTGCTCCACTAAGGGCTTGTTTGTTTGTACATAAGTACCCATGAATGAAGTAAAGGAAGACTACTTACGAGCAAAAATATCTATTTATTTCTTTGAAAAACACACTTTTGGTACTTATTTAAATGCCAATGTGGTGCTGATGCAGCATCTTTATTTCTTAAATTTTTTATGCCCCTCAAGGATTAGAAGTTGCTGAAATATGTGTAAATCGAGGAAAAATCAGTCCTCTAATGACCTCTCCCTTTAACACGTATTAGGTACTTATTTCCTAACAACATTTAAGACTGCTATCTAAACGAAAAAAGTGAATGAAAAGGAACAAGCGCCATATCCATTATTTCATAATGTGTGTAACAAACAAAAACACAATATTGACTTACGCCACATTATACTTCATAATTATGGAAGTTGATTTTTTTTATCTACTTCCTACTTCTAAAACAAACAGACCATAAACTATATAGTACAAGACTAAGAACTAAACCCAATTATACTCAGAAGACCAAAATAACTATGCATAGCAGCACCAAATACCTCTATATAACAACTTGACCATCAAAATCAGAATTTCCACCCACACACAATACTTCCAGGAAAATAAAATTTCAAAAATGCAATCTTTACCTACTGAAGAAGCCATTTTTACATAAAAAAACCAGAAACAAAATCAAATTTCAAGATCTGACGACAGCCCATCAATCAACTGGAAGGGAAAGTTTTAGCTTTGCTACAAGCAAAAAGAGTTATTGAATTATATACAAATTACATCCCTAGACCATCAACAAGTGACATACAAGTCCTTACTCCTTAGTTATTGAAATTAAACAACAATAGAAGTAGCAGCAGAGAGTAGTTTAATCAGACGAAACCATTAAAATTCAAATCAGATAAATTTTCCTCATGATGAGGACTTTTCCCAATTCATCCACCATGATTTTCAGAAGCTCGGATTCCAAAAGGATACACCCACATTATTGAATATGTTTATATTATATTTCCCGTCATTTCCTCCCACCTCCTCCCAAGCACAATAGCTAAAGAAAGGCTCAGGTGAAAGTTAATAACTTTAAGCGAATGGATAGACCCTACATTATAGGTAGACCATACATTATAGAACAAGGACGCATCCTTAGTCTAAGAGGCAAGTCAAGCAAAAAAAAAAAACTTTCTACGGTTCTTCAGTCTAGTTCATCAAAGGAATTTCCCATCAACATAATTTATAGCACAATTATCATTACTTTTTAATTTATTCTGACTAGTTTTATTTAAGAATATCGAACAACTTTTGTACATATTCAATAGCCATCACCAGTGTCGGTGATTTTCTTAATTAACGAATTTCACATGAACTCAAGTCTAAAACCCATTTTTCGAAGAATGGATTTACTTTAGTCCTTCTTCTGTCTTCAAATTAAATAATGCTGCAATCTTCTTATCGTTGCTTCCAAATCATGACAATCCTGAGCTCAATTAGGCTCCATATTCTAGAAAATGCAGAGAAACATACAGAAAGATTGTTGAACCATCATTTATTTTATATCATCATTCGATCAGACCCTTGCCATGTGGCAGACTCAAGAGGATATTTATAAGAGATGAAGTTTTTGGATTGAGCCTCTCGTGTCCTGTTCTTTTGAGTTTTATATTTCTTGTGTCTTTTCTTTAATTTTGTGATAGCTGAAGAGATGGTTGGATCTAGAACAGGGGCAGCCCCAAATGCGCACAAGCCCATGGAGCCAAATGAACGGATGATACCAAGCATGAAAAGAATATATCGAGTATATGCCAAAGAACAATATGCGCCCAAGGAGGTGCAAAATCGTGGTGTCTTTGTTGACACTTGTATATGAGATTGTGTACATTTTCTGCTTATTTGTATTTGCTTTTGCTTTCCATTTTCTGTTTTAGGTTACATGTAGGCAGATTCAAACTTAGGTATGCATGAACAGGCACGTAGGCAGATCCAAAAGCTAGTGACCTGAAGAATGGTCTCTTAGAAGGGTTGTGATTTTTGCATATTTTAGAAGCTCTGCATATGTGTGCACATACCAAAGTAAAGATTGCAATCATAAGAAAAAAAAGCTATATTTGTTTATTTCTCTGAAATTGATCTACTAAGGGCTTGTTTGTTTGCACGTAAGTAGCTATGAAGCATCCGAAGTAAAGGGAGACTACTTACGAGCAAAACTATCTGCTTATTTCTTTGAAAAACACACTTCTGATACTTATTTAAATGCCGATGTGGTGCCGATGCAGCATCCCTATTTCTTAAATTTTTTATGCCCCTCAAGGGATAAAAGTTTCTAAAATATGTGTGAATCGAGGAAAAATCAGTTTTCTAATGACTTCTCCCTTGAACATGTATCAGGTAATTACTTCCTAACAACATTTAAGATTGCTATATAAACGAAAAAAGTGGATGAAGAGGAAGAAGCACCATATCCACAATTTCCAAAATGTGTGAAACAAACAAAAAAAAACAGTACTGACTTGCGCCACATCATACTTCATAATTATGGAAGTTGATTTTTTTTATCTACTTCCTGTTTCTAATACAAACAGACCTTAAACTATATAGTACAAGACTAAAAACTAAACCCAATTATACTCACAAGACCAAAATAACTACGCACAGCAGCACCAAATACCTCAATATAACAATTTGACCATCAAAATCAAAAAAATTCACTGATAAACCCTAAACACCAGACAGTTGAAGATTATTTTGGAGAGAGACACAGAATGAACATTGTGGAAATCAAGTTAAGTTAAAAATGCGATCTTTACCTACTGAAGAAGCCATTTTTACATAAAACGACCAGAAACAAAATCAAATTTCAAAATTTGACGACGGCCCATCGATCAACCAATTTCTTTTAAAAAGAGTTCAGGATCATTACCTGACACCGAGCGACGATATCGAAGTGCTCGGCCAAGATATCGACGAGCTTCCCCTTCCCTTCGTCTCCCCACTGCGATCCCAGCACCCCCGAGACTTGACTCAGCGATCCCGATCCTGTCAACGTCGCGCCTCCCTCCTTGCCTCCACCTCCGGCGCCGCCGCAGCCGTCGCCGAACACTCCAGACGCTTCCATGAGCTTCTAAAAGGAACCAACGGCGAGCTCGCAAGCCCGCCGCGGGTGGCGCCTCCATTTAAGCGGGTTCGGGTGAGGGAGAGAGAAGCGGGGTCGAGGTTTAGAGTGAAGACGCAGCTCATGGCTCTAGGGTTTCGAAGGGAAAGAGACAGAGGACCGAGTCATTGAAGTTGAGAAGTTGAGGATACGCGCATTTATGTATATACTAGTATAATGCACTTGTTTTGCACTTAAATGACATATTTTAAATTTGAATTTTTTTAAATAGTAAAATTGTGTATTAATAAATTAAATTGTTTAAAAAGAAATATATAAATTAATTATTATTATGTAGTTATTGTAATTAAAATTTTATATTATAATAATTGTCTAATGCTATCCTTTTTTTAAATAAGTCCTCCAAATCAACAATTATTATTAAATAAGTCTAATATGCCCTTCTAATTTGAAAGTTGTTAACTTAACCTCTATATTAAATAAGCTGCATTGATCTTGCTAGTTTTTTCCTGATGTTCTCTAGATAATTAGACTTAATACCAGTAACGTATTGTGGTAGTTACTTTTCATTATGATTATTTAATAGAGTAAGTTACACTAAAACCTTATGAACTTTAAAAATAACTTTTATTTTTTCAAAGAAAACTCCCGGTAACTTTCTAAATTTTACAGATAACACATATATAAATGGCATAAAAAGGCATTTTGAAAGTTATTGGGGTTTAATGTAATTAATCTAAAAGATATTGAGTGCTTTCTACACAAACTATTTGCGATTCAGTGTTTCGAAAGTTAATAGACTCTATTTACTGTAAAATACTGAAAGTTCATGGGGGCTTACTGTAATTTACCTTATTTAATATTACAATTCTTAGTTCAAGTAATATTATTAAAATAATTATAATGCGTGTATACTATAACATATTTATCTAATTTATTTTTTAAATTATGCTCTTAAATAATTTAGTACTATAAATACTTTATATATTTTTATCATACTATTATTAACAATTAATACTATTATTAAAATTAAACAGGTTTTTTCTTAAAAATGTTAGTTTCTAGTCATTACTATGTATAGAATATTCAGTATCATCATGTAATAATCTTTGAGAAAATATTGTAAAATACTATTAAATTATTTATTTAATTTATTTAATAATATAATACCAAGTAAATAGTGTAATTCATAATTTATGTGATATTATTAAAATAATTACACTATTTATGCCATTAAGTATTTATTCTATTTATTTTATTGCTCATTGAATTATAGTATAATTCTTAATAGTATTTAGTAATATATTATTTTATGTATATTATTATTTTAATTATTTTATTATAAGTCATAATAATTATACAAATAATAATCTAATTAGTTGCTAATAATTATGTATACTTATTTTATAAATTATATTATTATTATATTATTAAATAATTAGTAGATATAATATTATTAATAATTATAATTATGTGGGAAGGTGAGAAGGTGCATAATTAATAAGTTGTTATATTTATTTGATGAAAGATTAATTAGTGATGACATAGTTAGAATTTATCAAAATTTGAGAGGGCAAAAAGGATTTAAATTTTTTAACATCCCAATCCTCTTTTTATAGCAGTATAGATTAAGAAATTGCTGGATACAAAACAATTAACATGTGTCACGTCATAAAATGGTCATCTATTTTTTTTAATCTTATTTCCATCTAAAAATCAACATCAAATCAAAACAATTTATAAATAAATAATTTTAATAATTAAATTAATAAATCCTAATTAAATTATAACTATTTTTAATTTAAAAATATCATGATTATATATTTTAAGTATAGAATTATGTATAGAAATTAAAGATGTCACTGGTTGCACGGATTTAGTAATAGGATTAGGCAAAATTTTAGATTAGTATTTTGAAGTTAAGATAAAAGAATTTAAACTCGGAGATATGAGAGTTTTATTTAAAAGGCAATTGGGGTGAGAGGTTGTGTGCAAAATGCGCATGAAGTTACAACAAGGTTGAACGTGGGCTTATTTATCTTTCATTAAGTATACACTAGTCTGCTGTCCGTGCAAAGCACGGGTTTTTTTTTTTTTTTTTTTTTATGCTGTCCGTGCAAAGCACGGGTTTTTTTTTTTTTTTTTTGCTACAGTAATCCCGTCTTTTTAACATATCCTGTTTTGAATTTTCTGGGAATGATACAGTATCCCGCTCTGCTATAGTACCTGTTAAATGCTACAGTATACCCGTGTGCTACAGTAATATTTTTAGATTACTTATGTGTTACAGTAATAATGCTACAGTAAATCTACTGTAGCATTTACTGTAGCATGAACAGTGACTCTCTGGTTCTTCCTTTTGTATAAAGGAATAGATGCACATCTTAAATTAAACTTAAGGTGCTAATTAATAGATAATTAAGGTTCCTAATGAAGATTGGAATATTTAAATCCATAATCACATCTCGTAATAGAGGGAGAGGGATTGGTTGGTTATTAAGCTACCTAATTCTCAATTTCAAAATTTAAGATAAATGCCATCCATACACTTATTTTGAATTTACTTATTTTTGAATTACGCAGCTTATTACATAAAACAGTAGGGAGCAGGAAAAACCCACTTGTGAGAAAGCAGCTTGGGCTTTTGAATGGGCTGACCTTAATGGGCTCTCCAAGCGAAACTAATGCGGGCTGTCGCAAGCAATTGAAAGAATCGGAATTGAAAGCAATTGAAAATAGATAACCCCCTATTTGCAAAATTGAAAGCAATTGAAAATCTCCCATTAAAAAAAAACCATTTAGAATTCTGGCTGTCGAAAGAATCGGAATCCGACTAAAACACAGTTTACGTAAAGATCCGAATCCTATAATAATAATAATAATAATAATAACAAGGTCCCTCTAATTGGGCTCGGGTCTAACAGAACTTTTACCCGTTCGGATTTCTACTTTCCCTCCTATTCTTACTATGATTCCGCGTCCTCAAAGTCCCAGGACTCAAAACAACTAAAAACTCTCCCCCCCTCCTCTTTAAATTAACCAACACAATCTTTGCCAATCTCAACACCTGCAATCTGATTCCCTCTTCTTCGTCAACCCAAAGCTTTGCATTATGCAACAACACGCCATGCAAAGGCAAGCTCTGATTCAGAGGATTGAGGCTGATGAGAGGACGATGACGCCCGGAGTTCTCCAGACCTCTGTGATGGCCGATTCTCACCAAGCCCCCTATGCTTCCGATCCTAATTCGATCAATGTGGGCAATTTGCCTCAAACTTACCAACCGACAATTCGGGAATCGGAACTTACCTCTAGGATTCTAGACCTCATGACGAGTGAAGATGGGAGCTTAAGGTTTCAAAGGTCATTGCTTGGCCAAGGCTTCGTTTATCCACTCGATCTTGTTCAGTACATTATGCAACATGGATATATACTTATCATCGCGGCCAAAGATGATTACGGGTATGTTCCTTAATTTCAGATTTATATCTGGTTTTCTTTATTTTTATTTTTATTTTTTGGTACTGACATTTTCTTGGGCATTTTCGCAGAATTGAGTCCGTTAAGGTGTTTATTGATTTTGTCAAGCAATATCCTCATATGTTCAATTGGGTCACCTCCGCTCTCGAAGAAAATGTGGTTGAGCTAATGATGCATCCTACTGCCTCTAAACTCATCCTATATTGTCTTAGAACCCTAAGTTACAGGCAGAAATTGGTAAGTTTCAATTTCTAAAGTCTTCAACTCCAAATTATACTTATGTAATCTAACAAATTTGAAATTATACTTACGTAATCTAACATTTTATTTCTCCAATGTTTTTCAGTTCCTGTTCCAAGCAGCCACGAGGAATTGCAAGAAACTTGGAAAGAACGCTATCGGAAAAGTCATCCTCGAAGAATGCATCAAGTTCTCGCAAGATTCCCAGCGACGAAATATTTTGAACAGACTTCTGTACCACGCTCTGACACTTTCAAAAACCTCCAAAGGGTAATACATATAGATTTTTGCTATTAGCCTATTAATAATCTCTTCGCATTTTATTAGTTTCAAACTGTAATCTATTGTTTTTTTTCCTTCAGGAATCTTGTGCTCCAGTTTGCTCTTAAGATTGGTGATCAAGAGTTTGATAGAGATATATGCAGAGTGTTGAAGAATCACTTGGAGGATTTGTCAACGGATGAAAATGGGAGTTACGTGATAGAAGCGTGCCTCAAATCATCAGGAGGTGAAGAACTAGTTCGAAAACTCGCAGGGCTTGAAAAGAATGAACTCGAAAGACTCGTCACAGATAGATATGCCAACTATATTATCCAAACTGCACTCAAGATCAGCAAGGTGGGTTTCTACATACAGTTCTTAAATTTATTTTTCTCGCGGGTTTTAATTTGTTTCATTACAAATAAAATTCATCATTTTTTTTCCTTGTTATGGAACAGGGAACTTCACTTTACGATGAATTAGTTCATGCAATCAGAGGACTCTCTGAAGAACTGCGGGAGGAAAATTTTTATGCCACCAAGGTGTTCCGCTGCATTGGATCTTTAGAACGAGAGATCAAGAGCAATCACTGAAGCTATGGAGGCAGGATTACGTCGTGTTGGATAATTACTCTCTGTTGCTATTTCTTAATATGTTTTTTTTTGTTGTCGTTTGGTTTTGTTTTTCTAGCGCAGGCCTTTAGTATGTATGTGTATGTGTATTCATGTAGGCTGTGCATGTTTGTGTCAGAATCACTGTGGTTGTTCAAGAGCTAATAGTATGATGTTTTTATTTTCATTTTCAATTTTTGATTGATGGTATAAAAGTGTGAAGTGAATAAATCAAGGGAAGTTCTATTGCTCGGGATTTTTAGTCTTTTAAGTTTTACCTTTGTGCTCAAACAAACTCCTGCGGATTTCTCATACCAAAGCAGCATTTGGTGACATTGTCTTGATAACTCATCTAAATTAAGGGGAGATTTATAGATAGCTACCAAGGTAAAAGTATGTAAAACATTGATCATATTGGAGATTCATGTGTGAATATACTCCCCATGCTGGAAAGACGATGAAAGAATAATAAGCTTAAATAGAAAGCCGGATAAATACAATGCAATTTAAAATTTTCTCATAACTCAGGAGATGTTTTGAGGTTTCATATAGAATCACCACTCTTTATTAAGAATCAGGCACAGAATAAGGGAGATCCCACACGCGCACGAGCTCGTGTGGCCAAATGAAAGGATTTCGGTGTTCCCACCAGAAAAATTTCAACTTTTAACAAAATATATGGCAAGAGATTATCCATGTTCTTTATTTGTTTTATTTCTTTTTTACTTCTTATTGTTCTAAAACTTGCCAGAACATCGTAGCAATTTCGAAAGTTTGATGTAATGAAAGGAACATTGAGAATGGTAAATTAAAAAAAAAGGTGTCTCTGTTTAGATAGAGTCTTTCGATTCGTGATTTTCTTCACTATACACTTAGTTTTCTTCATGTTGAAAGTTCTCAAGGGGGAAGTAGCGAAAGGGGTCTCTATTGTTTAGGATGGTATAGATTCATTGCCATGTTATATTTAATGATATCATTTGTTTGGTGAAACTACTGATTAGCTTATAATGTCTGCTATAGCATTTTTCTTGCTTGTAACCAAGGACATGATAGCTTCACCTTCAAGGGTCATAACTCTCTAGAAGACTTGCTTATTTCAAAAAGATGTATGAAAGTTCAAGAGTTTGATTCGAGGAAATCCATAAATTTCAACATCTTTCAGAAAATGTTTTCCCCTGTTCTTGAAAATTTCATGTTTTAAACACAACTCGGGACCACGGAGCACCAAAACAAAGTATTATGTAAGAGTCTGAAGTCTCCTTTAGGTATGTTTAATCAAAAAGTTCTCCTGCTAATAAACTGAAAAGCATAAAACAAGGGATTAGGTCTTCTTCTCCATTGCTGATAGACAGTAAAATATCCCCTTCTTTATTGTTGGTTTTAACTTAACACCCCTATAGTTTCTTCGTTGCAGATAGACCCCCTGAGTTAAAATTTTCTGGCTCTTTCACCCCGCTAGAATTTTGGAAGATATTGACCCTGGATGAAAACAAGGAGTCCAGCTATCTAACCAAATGAACAAATTACAGCATAATAATGATAATGATGGTATGCTAGATGTATTTTTATTTTCTGATTTATTTTCTATTTCATTGAACATATATCAAGCTATAAGATCTATAGAAGATACCCCTTTTGCATCTGAAAAAAAATGACATGAAACTTATTTATCCCACCCAACTGTCAGAAGAAACTCCTAGGAGACCCACCAACACCACCAAGTACGCAATCACCAAAACAAATGATTAAGACCCCCCCCCTAGAATAAAAATAAAATCCCTTGCAAAGAAAGGAAAATTCTACCCCACAAGATATAATGACTCTCAACTTTCACTGTTTCCCCCACCAAAGCTTCTAGAATCTCTAAGTACAGTGGAGCAAATACAAGTTATGACTGAGACCTCCACTGCTTTGCGTTCTCAAATCCATTCCTGCAGTAATGATAGTCCTCAAATGTCTGCTCAATCTCAGCCTGTGTGTTCATAACAAAAGGCCCATACTGAACTACAGGCTCATTCAATGGCTGCCCTCCAACCAGAATGAACCTTAGCGTACGCGCCGATCGGTTCCAGACACTGAGACCGTCGCCAGAGCTCAGAACGAGCGCATGATGGCTCGATACGATCGAAGAGTTTTCTTTACCGAAGACTCCCTCGCCTTCGATTATATAAATGAAGGCATTCCAGGACTCTGGAACTGATTGGTTGAGTTGGGAACCGGGTTTCATTGTGAAATCGAGATACATTGTTGGTGTTCGAGTATAGACTGGAGACTGGACTCCGAATGCCTCTCCTGCGATGATTCGAACGTAGACTCCATCTTTCTCGACGTGGGCTACGTCTTTGCTTTGCAGTTCTTGGTATCGAGGCTCGATCCTGTAAATAAGAAATAAATTTAGGATTTGAAATATAAATTACATAGAGAGAGATTGTTATCGGATTGTTTACATTTTGTCTTTGGATGAGAGATTGATCCAGAGCTGCAATCCCTTTTGGACTCCATCACCTGCAGGCATCTCAGAGTGAATAATTCCTCTGCCTGCAGTCATCCACTGCGCAATAAACAGAAATTACTAAGATTGACATTTGTAAGATTTTATTTTAATTGAGATTACTGCAATATGTGATTATATGAAGCAAGTATACCTGGAGATCCCCCGTTCTGATTGTGCCCTTGTGGCCAGAGAAATCTTGGTGAGTGAAGGCACCCTGAATTCCGTTAAAAAACAAAAGCAGTTAAAATTTTCAAAAAGAAATTCTCAGTATGGAGTTTATAAAAGTGGGTAGCTAATGAGAAAATATACCTCTAACATATACGTGACAGTCTCAAAACCTGATAGAAATATCAACAAAAGTTTAGAAAATGACAACAAAAGAGGAGTATAAACTCGAAACTTTCGACATGGGCTAACCTCTATGAGGATGATCAGGAAATCCAGCAGGAGGAGAGACTGAAAAATCGAACAACCGAAAATAAATCAAGAAAGAAAATCACTTGACAGAGAAACAAAATGAAAACCAAGGTGTATGTATAAACCTGAGAACTCATCCAACATGAGAAAAGGATCAAAATTCTTGAGCTCAGGCCTATTCCAATCCAATACAAAACAAAACCCAATTGAGATCAAAATCAAAAAGTCAATAAAAAAGCAGAAAAGAATCAAAACTATAAATGGATTATTTTTACCTCCCAATGCTTCTCCTAACAATGGCTCCATCACCCTCATACTGAGCCTTTGCAAGCACCTTCTTCACAACTGATCTCGGCTTCTCGAAACACGGGCTCTTTTGACTATTCCCACTCATGGTGATATTAGTCCTGTTACTGATTCTGACAAAGAATTTGTGCTGAAGCAAAAGGAAGAGAAGGAAGATGAAGAGGTGAAAGGTTTTCATGATGGACTGTTTGATTGCAAGATGATTTATAGGGAGAGAACCAACCCCTTATCATCATCATCATGACCATCATCAGTCATCATCATCATATTTATCTCTTGGTCATGGTCTAAATTAATGCACGAGATTGGTTCAAATTTTGTATTTTTACTTTTCCTTGGCTTTCCTCCTCCTTTGTCCTATATAAAAACAGAGAGATAACCAATAACGACTTTTGGGAAGGGTGATGAACGGACTGATGGTGAGCTGGCATCACCTGCGGGTTGATTTTTTTTATTAATTATAATTAATTAATTTAATTTGGTTTGTATAAGAAGACTAGATGCGAGGAAGGAAAAGGGAATTTAAGAAAGAGAAGGAAACGGAAGCTGTGGATCTTGTCAGAAGTTTGATGTTGGGACTAAAGTTTGGGATGATATCATTCTTATGTAATCATGATGTGGGCACCCCTCTATCCATTTTTTGCTATTAAACTCCATTGGCTTGGATTTGGGTCAGGTTCATGTTGGCCCGAGTAAAATCAATGACGGGCTCGAGGAAAAATGTTTCCTCCTTTTGAGCAAGATAGGACAAATTTTGAAAACCGTCTTATTTATAAAAAAAATTTGTCAAAAATCGATCTATTCTAAAAAAATTTATCAAAACCGATCTAGTTTCAGTCGTCTGGTTGAAACTTGGTCGGTTTTGACAAATAAAAGTCTGAAATTTCACGAGACTTGAAGTCCCGTGAAGTTTAGCAGTCATTTAATTAAGCTGTGTAACTTCACGGGACTTCAAGTTCCGTGAAGTTTTTTTACTCATGAGACTTCCAAATAGCTCGTTTTACTTAATTAAAGGCTCATTTTCAAGCTGCTCTCTGGAAAAGATTGAGAGAGAGAGAGAGTTCAGAATCCCGTCACCAGGAAGGGCGGTGACCGTACCCCAAACAAGAGAAAGAGAAGTGAGAGCAGTGGCTCAGGAGAAGATGTGGAACCTCCTTAGAGGAGGAGTTCTGCTCCTCACGCTTTGATTTATTTCTTTCTGGCTTGTTAGTTTTGCACTCAAGAATCCACACTCTCTTTAAAATGGGTCCCGCTTTGTCTGGGTGTGCTTTATAAAGCAGTGGGACTGAGATCAGGGAGGGTAGCATGGAGACAATGGGGGGCGGGTGGCTGACGCTCATGCTCCTTTCCGTGCTGGAAATTCAGCTTAAACTTCACGGGACTTGAAGTCCGTGAAGTTTTTTTCTACTAAAAAATTTTACGGGGCTTGTAGTCCTGTGAAAGATTTTTCGCCCTTCATTAATGTCATTATAGGCTACTAAACTTCACAGGACTTCAAGTCCCGTTAAGTTTCAGACTTTTTTCTCAAAACCGACCCAGTTTCAACCCGACGGCTGAAACTAGGTCGGTGTTGACAATTTTTTTTAGAATAGGTCGGTTTTGACAAAAAATTTTTGTAAATAGGACGGTTTTCAAAATTTGTCTGAGCAAGATACCCCCCCAAAAAAAAACCTTTTTAGGGATTTGGATAAAACAAACATGAAGTTAGGGGGAAAACACCTAAACCTGTCGACAGATCTTCCACTATGAGGGTTATAATTATAATTCCAATTTTCGTAACTTTGGGGAGTCCCATATAACTCTCTTGAATTTTCGAGAAGTTCCACTTGAACTAAGGAGAAATGAGAAAAAGATTACTCAAGATGTTGTCTTATGATTTTACTGAGGAGTTATTTTCTTAAAACCAATATTTCAATAGGTGGAACTTCTCGAAAGCAACCTATATTTCAATAGGTGGAACTTCTCGAAAGCTCATCGTGTTTTCTTTGAAACTCCATAAAGTTTAGCAATGCTTCTGAACTTCATGATTATATTGTGCAAAATCACCCCAGAAGTTTTCTGGAATTTTTATGAAATTTAACCCCACAAGTTGAATAGGGTTATACATATTCCAAAGGTAGGATGGTAATTGACTCGCGCATGGCTCGGCCCTTGTTTGAGTGTCAAACACCATGAATAGCAAATAGATCGTTATTGAAACATCTTTCATCATCAAAATATGAACACAATCTCCAAAATGATTTTAAAATTAAGAAACACTAGAGGCACACCATTGGACACAATCCCAACCATACCCCCTCACCTGCTACAGTGCAAGACACAATCCCAACCATACCCCCTCACCTGCTACAGTGCAAGGGGGCCCCACATGGAATTTTTTTAAAAATCTCATGTGGGGCCCATACACTGTAGCAGGTGAGGGGGTGTGGTTGGGATTGTGTCCAATGGTGTGCCTCTAGTGCCACTCTTCAAAATTTTGGGGTACAGAAGTGTAAAGAAGCTTCGCTTAAAACTAAAAGGAACGTTGCAGAGTCAGATAACATAAAGAGTTCTGGTCATAATTTTGGCCAGACGGAAACTCGTATATAACAGAATTCTAGCTAAAAATTCCAGAATTCTAAAAAGTTCAATTTCTGGTCAAGACCAGCAACCAAACCAATAATATACGCCATCTATTACGAAAATAAAACCACCAATCAGAATTCTTAAAACAGTTTTGTTCAAGATCATCAACCGGTCACTGATATTTTTGTGCTATATAGTATTTTAATTTACAGTAGAATGCTGAAATGACGAAAATTAACAAAAAGGCTGCATGAATCGATCAACCAACGAATAACCTTAATATAGACAACATATTGTTCATCTTCACACCAACCTGATGAAGGAGAAGAAAGCCGATGGTACTTGCCTTCTCGAGCAAAAATCTGTATATGCAGTTATAAAATATCAATCCAAATCTTCAGGGTTTCCTTAACGCAGATGCTGCACCCATAACTACGGCCAACACTAGGCCAAGACCAGCGCCCAAGGATGCGCCCACGGCAGCAGCAGTTACTGAACTCCCTTTTCCTTGTGAATCTTGGCTTGCACTCGAAGCTCTCTCCTCCTCTTTTGCCAGTTCAATCGCTAACCTTTCATTTGCAAGTTCCTATAAACAAAAAGGATTAACCATATAAGGTAACGTTCATTATGTTTGGCTACAATCTTTAAGGGTCTGCTGGGTATGTCGTAATTGCAAATGAAGCAAATGTTTCATGCAACAACACTTATTGCAGAAAAGTAATCTCAAATTACGTCATTGGGATATCCACATTATTTTAGGAAATGTATTCACAATTACAAATATAACATTTGGTTAGTTAGTTGTTGGATTTGCAAGTTTTGTTGCATGAAATATAGTTTCATTGCAACTTTAAGTGTTTGTTTAACTGTAATTGTGAAATGGTCTCCATTTTGCGCTGGAAATAACTAACTTAATGACATTGCATTAATTTTTAAGTTTTTAAATATTCAAGGACTTGCAAGCTTGCAGCATTTGCTACCATCAGAAGTTTTTTATATGAAATGGAGATCCGATTGCCATTTTCAACTATCCTATTGCTAACCAAACATAGGAAATTTCAGTCCAACAATGAGTGTTGCAGGCTTGCAACTCTATTTCTAACCCAAGAGCCCTAAATTACTTCACCTGGAAAGCTTTTTCCTCTTGACTCTTAAGCACACGGTGTACAAGTTTCCGAAAAGCAGTGACTCCTTGAACAGGCATAACCAAAGTTTTTCTCTTGAAAGGCATTCGAGCCAGGCTGAGAGGCGCTTGAAACATTCTTTGAGTAATCTCCTTCCTGCTCAAGTTCTCATATATTGAACTCTGAGACTGAAGAGAACTGGCATCAGTAGGCATAACAAAAGGGCAAGAGTTTACGACTTCAGTCGTCCCAGGAGATGAATCATATGCTTCCATGGCATACTTAATCAACATTTTCTGTTGATGAGCACTGACGGAGAATTTATTTGTTATAGCAAGAAGCCAGGGGACATTAAGAGCCTTGGCCTCATTAAGGAGAATTGAGAGAGCTGGTTGTTGCTGTGAAATATTTGATTGGTAATATCGAGGTATCTTATGGGAAAGATTGTGCACGAGAACAACCAGGTCGGTTTTCTTATTGAGGTCAACCGCTCCTGCCTGCAATTCATCCCTAAATCTAGTAGACTCCAATTGTAGCTCCTGCAAGTCAGAAAACTCAAATCAGTAAAAAAAATAGCAAAAAGATAATAAAAAAATGAATATAAAATATAAAGAAGTCTGGCCACTAAGCATCAAAACATCTACAAGAAAATGCCATGTGCTAAATAAAAATATAGCATTAAGAGCTATTGCAGTATTTCTATGCTCATATCTGTTGCGCTCTCACATACACCTTAAAAATAAAGTTTGAGATCAACTGCACTGACTACTCAAAAATCTAGTGTTCGTATGTGAAATGTCGTCTATGGAAGCACACATACTTGTGTCTTCCTGCATATTTGTGCACTGAAATTTTCCCCTGTTTGCTCAAAATGTTAGCTTTATACCCTTTTCAAGAGCTTTGGTATGATAGGCCACAAATAATGAGCTACTTCAAAAACTAAATTATAAATAAGATTTAAGAACTATTACAAAGAATGCTTATTTCAAAAAAATTTAATTTTCTGGAAGCTAGTATCAGCGTGGTTGTTTTTCTTTATTACTAGTAATGTGCTTGTTTTTCTTTATTACTAGAAATGTGCATGTGCTTTGCATGTCGACTTACTTGTTCTATATTTTGAATTTTTTTAATTGATAGGAAATTTCTGAAGTGACTTTTATAACAATATATAAATTAATAATTTCAAAAGTTTTAATTGTGTTAATAAATGAAATTGTACATTAAAATTGTACGAATAATTATTATAACTTGGATAATTCTTATAATTTATTAATGATTTGTTTATATAATTATACTAAATTAAATAATTATTTAATATTGTAATTCTATTTTACCCAAACTTTGGGGGTATCAAGGTCAAAAAATATGTGAAACTTGGGTATCAACGTGTCGGAACAAAACTTTGAGGTATCAAAGTCATAATAGGTGTGAACTTAAATGTTGAAGAAAAAACATTGGGATATCAAAGTTAAAAATGGTGTCAACTTTGAGGAACCAAAATGCACATAATCCCAATTTTTTAATAGTATAATGGTATTTTATTTATACTATTATTTTAATATTATTTTATTATAATTTGCTAATTATTTAATAGTTTAATAGTATCTTAATATATTCTTAAACAATTAATTGTTGTACTATTGTTGATAATTGTAATGTTATTAAATAATTTATATAATAATTATGTAAATTGGTTTGTTACACTATTATATTATTATTAAATAATATATTTAATAGTATACCTATTAGATAACAATGTTGATTCTAAATTTAAAGAATGCTATTAAAAAATTATATTAAAATACAACTAATAATTTATAATAATAAAAATAACTATAAATTTGGTTTTAAGTTATTATAAATATTTATTAATTATAAAATAGTATTAAACTAATTACTTTTAGTAAATCATTGACATAATAATTATTGTTTTTAATAGTATAACTATTAATTAAGGGTTAATTGAGACAACATAGTTAACAAGAAGTTATGGGTACTTAATGAAAAAATTAATTCTATATAATTGACATACTTGGGAATTGTCAAAAACTGAGAAGGCAAAAAAGGCATTCAAAAGTTTTGACATGGCAATCCTCTTTTATTAGTGTAGAAATAATAGATATAAATAGATAGATAGATAGAAATAGAATAGATAGATTGTTCTCCTAAAGTTCTGACCCTGGCATGCTTTCTATAACTGAATTCTTTTCTCTAATTCTATCTCATATTTACATTTTTAGATTAGGCCATTTTTGATCCAACAGGTGCTTCCCTTAAGGGTCTTGAGGTTTACGTTTTACCTCCTGGGACGGATGGCAAAAAGTAGTATCTTAATAAGGTTGTAAATGATTACTGTGTTCTTTTACATATTATACCCACAGAAAAAAACATACAAAATTTTGAATTCACCCCTCTAAGCATCATAATTTCAATCTTACCCTCCAAATTGCAGTCAATCCTCAGTGCTCAGCTCATCATAACTGCTGTTAGTTTTTGAAATGCAGATAAAGAGAATGACTTTTTTGTACCCCTATAATGACTTAATTGTTGTAGTCAACTAGATAATAGTGATTAATTTTAGCTATCAAGTCTATTTTTTTGCTTGACCAAACTTATAAACATAATAGAGCAACATATGATGAATAAGCGTGTCATTTTCCAAATCATTTCAACTTATAACTAAGTTACTAAAGAGCTACCTTAAAAAGTTCAATAAAAAAGGTGTCACTAAATATAAAACCAGCAAATAAGCCTTGAATTGTTCTACTTCTTATAAAGATGATTTCTAGAATTAAAGTTATAATTTTAAAATCAAAAGGTGAGGGAAAAGGATCCAGAACAAATAAAATGGGATTATCTACCCTGCTGAGTTCATTGCTTAAAATGGTGGGTTTGAGAATGTTGTATTCTTAAAGGTCAAATTGTAACGGAAAATAGTCCATAAACACTAAAGAACCAGAAATGAAAGAGACTTCAAAGGTTAAAAGAAAACAATAAAAAGCACCTGCAGATCTACTCCAGTTGAGTCTAGATAGCATACTCCACCCACAATTGCTTCCTGAGTATCCACCTCTGGATGAATGTTCTCAAATTTAACTTTGTTTCTGTGTCTATCTTGATCCGATATAGCTTTCAATAGAGAAGTTTTTCCAGCACCCTGCCATGGTTCCGATTCTGGTACATATTACGCTTTCAACTAGAATGTGACAATCTAATTCGCACAAAAGAATTTTTTTTACCTCTAAGCCAAGTAGCCGAACCCTTCGTGTTCTCATGTGAACCTTCTTAGAGACGGTGATAAAATCACTGGTGCAGTATATGACAAAACCATTCAACCCTACAGGGCATAATCTTTTTTCCTCAAGAATAGATCCAATGTCATGGTCATGATGAGAACTGACATATTCCATTGATTCAGAAGAAAACATGGGTTGTATAGATTCTTCTGGAGCAGGAAATGTTGGAGGCTGTTTTAATGGAGGGCCAATTAATATCCTCATCTTCTGTAAATTAGGTTGTACGCTAGGATTTGATGCGTGTGAAGGCACAGGAGGTAGTGATTCTACAACTGTTGAGCACCTGAAACAGAGAGGTTAAAATATTGAACATAAAAATACAATGAGAACGAAGAAAACTGAAAATGTGATGGCATTTGTACATGGTACATGAAGGTCAGAGAGAGAAGCCATACCAACTTTAAAAAACTCTGGACATGCATGGAGTTACATTGCAAATGTAGATATTAATGCAAAAAGGAATAAGAAAAGGAAAACCATTTTGTAGGATGTTAGGCATAATGGCAGCTGAAAATCATTAATCATGTAATATTTATGATATGACATATGAACTGATTATAGAGAGTAGAAACAATATCCAGCATCAGAACTAACTGTATGTTTGAATGGACTCAGATGTACGAAGATGGATAGAACAAATTAACAACTGACACAATCTAAAACTACAAGCATTACATGTGTCTTAACATGTGTTCGACACAACATGACTTTCATAATTGAAGTGTGTGTGCATAGGAACCAGTTACTTAGCATACATGGTGTGGGGTAATGTGACCTGTAATATAAAGGCAGGAAACTCTATTCTGTGGTGTGCCATAGGTCAAGCAGAAAATAACAAAGCTAGAACTAGTCATGATCAGTAAGTTATAACAACTTGAATTGCTATTGTTGCAATATGATGTTGACTATAGGTTAATGGGGGAAAGGGCAAATTACACTAAACCCCCAAGAACTTTTAGTGTTCTGCAGTAAACCACCAATAACTTTTAAAATTGCACTAAACCCCACAATAACTTTTGCAGAAAACTCCCAAAGTTAACACTGTTACGTCACATCACATCTGATGTGAAATGTGCAACTCAATGTGACTTAAAGACCAAAATAACCCTTAAAATATTTTATAAAAAAACATTTATGACCCTTTTTATATTTTTAACCCTAAAAACATAAATCTCTCGTCTTTTGTCATTCATTCGCCTCTTGCTCGCACCAAGCTTCAGGTCTCGAGCCCTAATTTATTTATTTATTTATTGCTGAAATTGTCCTTAAAATTGCCTTTTTGTGCTGTTTCTTTGTTCTAATTTATTGGGGTTATCTGCAAAATGCGAAACTCATTTGGGGGTTCTGCAATTCCAAAAATTATTGGGGGTTTAATGCGATTTTGAAATTTATTAGGGGTTTACAGCAAATGCTGAAAGCTCTTGGTGGTTTAGTGTAATTGACCTAAAAATAATTGTATTAACTTCATAATAAGTTTAATTTGGAAATTCAGAAAAATATGAGGAGTTCATTTATGGTTAAACATTCATGACAAGAAATAACATCAGAAACCTGAAATTGGAAGAAAAAATTATTTTACTCGTAGAAAATTTCATAAATTCATGAACAAGGCAAATCATATTGAAATACGAAATAGTAGTAAATGAACATTTTGAAAAAAAAAACTAGATTTGCAGTATTACATCATCAATCGTCTGGATATGAGAAAGTGCAGCATAAATATGAGATATTTTCTCAATTTCCACTACTCTTTTCTCTTTGTGCACCAATGCACAACAACTCTCACCTTAGTTAAGTATAAACTTTTTTTAAATTGGATGCTCTCTCATCTCACTGGCAAAATAGTGCAAAACATGAGGATTTCAGGCAAGGCTGCAGGCACATAGCATATGAGACAATAAATCTGAGCTTGTCTTAGTCCAAATACCACATCAATTTAACTTTGTACAGATACAAACAGGCGTGTACCCATAATAATTTCTTCATGATGATTTGTTGCAACATGGTCTAACAATCATGAAAATGCAAAGCAGTATAATAGAGAAAACTGTACTATACCAATTTCCATTTATTTGAGCCTGAACAAGAGTACACAGATGGAGGCCATGACCAAGCTGCGCGGATAACAGGGGGATCAACAATATGTCCCAGTTCAACAGCACCACCAGCTGTCAATCCGAGCCATTTTTGCAATTGTGGAAATTCTGGCAACTGTTCGATTCCCAGAAACGTAGAAGCATGTACATACATTAACTGATCATATATTCTGTCAAAGAAGGAATAGAAACATGAGTTTCTTCTCTTTATGCTCTCCAAGTAAAGCTTAATAATAGGAAAACAAAAATATTAAGGTTTCGGAAACTAAGCACGTTTTTAGAAGAGGTCAACCCAGGAGCAAACAAAACTTTTTCTTTTTCAAGATGAAAATCCTGCATATAGTAGGTCCGAAAATGTACAACAAGAGAAAACAGGAGAAGGCTCCCAGGGTACAATTTTGTTCTGCAACAACATGAAGCTCACAATTTCCTTTGGACCCTCTAACAATAAACAATTGTATGAACAACTATAGCAAACTCGAACCTCTGAAAACGTGACCGATACGACTTCATGGAATGTGACTGTAATCGCTCCCTCAATTCTGATATGACAGACCTCACCTGCAAATGCCTTTGCCAGGTCAAAGCAACTATGATGAGTATTTAGATACTAGAAAATAGTAACACAAGTAATACAAGAGACAAATCACATTACTTTAACACCTATCACCACTAATAAAGTAACAACTGAAGCTCGTACCGAGGTTAGTTTTGAGTACTCTGCATCAGAAAGAGATTCCACAGATGAACTTCCCAAGAGAAACAACTGGTAAAATAATCAGAAAGAAGATTCTAATTAAGTGCATAAATTCTTGGAAAATATATATTATGTGACTATAAAACAGAAGCATTCTAACGAGACGTAGAAAAATTTCAGGAAGCAGACCACTATTCTGCACAAGAACAATAATGCAAAGCAGTAGGAAGCAGAAGTGGGTTTTCTGAGAGACAACATTGTGTCAACAAAATAATGCAAGTAATTTTTTGTCATCTAAGTGTTATATAATCAAATACAGTCAATATAAAGCACAACCCCAGAAAAGGTTCAATAAGAAGATCAACAAAATTTTATGACCAACAATTGTTTGTCGATGCTTTAAGCTAGTAGGAAAAGTCTTACCCAAGGGGACTATATGCAACCCAAAAAGATACCCCCAACACCAATATATATCGCTTCCATCTCATACACCAACATGTATGTCCAATCATTATCACCCCAATTAATACCTCTACCTATTGAGAGTCATCTGGACCTGGCAATCAGGTCAAGCCAGCCAGGATCCCAGCCTGTTAGGGCCAGGTTTTAGCTTGGCCCACATTGACCTAGGAAGGTCCAAGCCCAAACTCATGAAAAATCGGGGTGGGCTGGGAAGGGGGTCCAAAACCCAGGCCTGAACTGGGCCCTAGCCCAGCCTGAAAACCTCCATGACCGGCCTAAATTGAGGGGAAAAAAGGATTAGGCCAAAATTTGAGCCCAAAATTTGGGCCTCAAAAACAATTTAAAAGAAAAGTAACCTGGTCCAAACTCTGGGCCTGATTAATATAAATCAGTTCAGGACCAAAGCTTTGGGCTTGAATTGATGCCCCACCAGCCCACCACTTCGGCCCTGAGAAGTGGCCGACATGCCCACGAGCTTGTGCCAATGATTTGAGTGCCACGTGACTGAATCACTGGCCGAAGCGGCTGGGCCCACACACAACAGGAGAAATTCGTCCATTGCTCAAAGGCAATAGAGAAAATTTTGCCAGTTGGGAGAGGAATTGATGATTAACAAAATAAATAAATGTGAAAAAAAGTTAAGAATAAATCTACAAATATTCCTATCAACCCTCAATTCTTTCTCACAACAATCTGCTCCTCTTCTCTTCTCATAGTATTTAATAATTCAAAGCTCTCTCATTTCTCAAGTTCTCAAATCAACTTCTCAAAAATCTATTTCTTAAAAAAAACTTCTCAGAGATCAAATGGATTTTACACTCTCCTTCAAACGGTTTTGGAGAACATCTCAACAACATCACTCCAACAGGGGGAAACTTCGCAGCCACAAGAAACCACTCCGGTTGCTACTACTAGTCAATCACAAGCTCTGACAATGAAAGAGGCAAAAAGAGGACAGGAATATGGGATCACTTTTAAAACAGAAGGTGAAGGTAATAATGGCTTTGCTATATGTAAGACTTACCAAATAAAATAAAATGTCCTCAAAAGATGGTACTGGAACTTTGACTAGACACATTATAATGCATGTAGGTAGTGAAAAAACATAGACAGAACTTAGTACAACCAGGAGAACGTTCTTTACTTGGATATATAAATTTGTTAAGATGAAAAGAGCATTAGCTAGGTAAGCATGCATTTTCTGAAGCTAAAAGTGAAGTTCTTGATGAATTTGTCTGAGGAGCGCTTCAACCAGAATTTAAACATATTCCTAGAAACACTATAAAAAGAGAAATTTATCACATATATGATAACAAAGAAATATTTTAGTTGCTACATTATCATTTGTTCCAAGTAAAGCTGCATTAACTTCTGATGTTTGGACTGGTATTAACAATCATTCATATACCTGTGTAACTGCTCATTGGATAGATGTAGATTGAGTAGTTCAGAAAAAAAATTATTGTTTTTAGGGATTTCCCTGTCCTCTTAATGCCGATGGCATTTATACCAATATTTTGAATGATACAAACGAGTACTACATAACACAAAAGATTATTACTATTTCATAAGATAATGCTTCTAATAAAAATGTTGCAATATCCCTACTCAAATCACGTACAGCTCCTGCTTTAGATAAAAAATTATTTCATATTTGATGTGTGCGCCACATATTTAATCTTTGTGTGCAAAATGAATTTTCATGCTATAAAACAAGTTATTTTAAAAAAATAATAGAATAGTTGTAGAATATGTTAAACGTGGTGGTCTTAGGAGTCAAAGGTTTGGATATTATTGCTCTATTTTTAATTTGCCACCCCGAAAAATGCTTGGTGATTGTGTAACTCGTTAGAATTCTACTTATAATATGTTACGCACATGTATTCCATATGGCGAACCAATTACATTTTATTTTTACATTCAAGTAGGGCCACACTCATATCTTATTATGATTGATAGTGATTGGTCACTAGCTTCACCAATTGTTAATGTGTTAGGTCCATTTGAAGAAGCAACTAGACATCTATCTGGTAGTTATTGTACAACTACCAACACAGGTTTTAGTTCATTTGAGTACAATTGCGAACATGTTTACTACATACCACAATGATCCAATCTTATTGGTTTTTATTCACAAAATGAAAATTTTAATAAATACTTTCAAGAAATAGCATTATAGTTTTGCTCTTATATTAGATCTTAACAGAAAATTTGATTGTCGTGAAAATTTCCTTCTTTCTATAACTTATAATATGATCTATTAAGATTTGAAGATAGATCAATATATGTAAGATGTGAAGGACATATTATATGAATTATATGCAAATTATTGTGGATCCTCGTTGTCTATTACTCAAACGTTAACTTTACAATCTTCATCTTTAGCACCTCAACGCTTTAGACTTCAAACTTAAATGAGACAGAGACAAAGATCCTCACAAAATGCAAATGAACTTGCTTTCTTAAATGGTCCAGCCATCGAAGAGGGAGCTCTTGATTTTGATGGATTAGCCTAGTGGAAAGCAAAAAGTGGAACTTACACTGTGCTCTTCGCTATGGCTCATGATATACTAACGCCTCCGGCGTCCACAGTGGCTTTCGAGACTGCTTTTTCTAGAAGTGGCAGGGTATTAAATGAGAAGAGAACCAGCTTGAGCAATGAGAGCTTGAAAAAGGTGCTGCTGTTGTTAGACTAGTGGAAGGTGACTAAATAAACACAAGGGAAAGAAGAAATTTTGTATGGTGGCGAACTTAACGATGATTCTCCACCTATAACAGAAGCGGGTCCATCCAACAGTTGAGGACATTAATTAAATCAATTTTCATACTTTTATTTATAATTTTCAAAGTCTTGTCGAACTAGTATTGTAATTTTTCATTTTTAATATAAAATATTTCCTTTTCGCCGTGTAACTCTTCAATTTCTACTTTCTATAAGTACACTAAAAATTTAATCATCCTATTAATAAATTTATCAATTTTTGTTGTTACCTCTATGTTAAAAATTGGCCAATCATTTAAATTAAAATTAAGCCCAAACCTAGAAATATGTAAAAAAATTATGGGCCTGAATTTTTAAAAATCAATTAAAAAACCTATGGGTCAATTAGCAAATTGGGACAAACTTTAGGCTCGATTCAAAATAATTTTTTCTAAAATTTAATGTATCCGACAACGCCATGTGGCCTTATCGGCCGATTCATTGTTGAAAATTCCAACGGTCAAATTTTTGCTCATTCAGATGTACTTAATGGGTTGCGCCCCTTCTAATTTTTTATTTATAATTAAACATTGGGGGGTTTTTTGTAAAATAAATTCTCAAATTTTTACAAAAAACCATGATTCTTCACTTTTTCCTCACACTAATCTTCTCTTCATTGTTCTCTCAAGCTCTTTCAAGTTTTCATGCTCTCTCATTCTCAAATCAAGTTCTCAAAATCAATGGATCATAAACTTACAAACTTCACCATGGAAGACGAGGATGGTAATAGTGTTGCTACATGTAACAAATGTTAGATTAAATAGAAAGCTCATACAAGTATGTTGTGGTACAAGAAATTTAAGTAGACATTTAAAGCTTCATGTGGATAGGAAAAAATCACGATTCTCTTTGAAATATATATTTATGAAATGATAAAAGCATTAGCAAAGTGCCTGCTGCAAATGAGCTCGAAGAGAAAGGAGAAGAGGGTCAATCCCTCAATTGAACTTGATTCATGGAATCATGCACTTAGTTTGTATTTTTCATTTTTATAAGTCTAGACGCTAGTATTGTAACTTTTCATTTAGTATAAAATATTTTCTTTTTAATACGCAACACTATATTTCTAGAAATATATACCAAATTTATCAATTTATTGATGAAATTTATCTTCTTTTGTCAATATTTCTGTATTTATAATAAATTTTTAATAGTTTGGAAAAAAGAAAATTCCAATAAAATTAAAATAAAAATCAGATGAGTTGGGCCCGGACCGGCCCGTATCCTAGCGGGCCGGACCAACGGGTCAGGTTTGGACAGTGCCCAAACCCAGAATCCTTGGACTCAATACCAACATGGTGCAATCCAGTCCAACCAAACCCGTACCATTCAAGCCCAGGCTCGGTTAGGTTCGAGTCGGGCTAAGAGTGAACTTAACCCTTGGCCAGGACAAGAGTAGCACACAAACAGAGACAGAAAAATATAGCAGCTGATAAGGTTTCAATTAATGGAAGAAGTGGATACACAGAACATGTAGGCCTGCTGGTCTCTCTAATGCATTCCGATGATGGACATCAGGGTTTTGTCCTTACCAAATGCTACTGAAAGCATCTGTTTACTGAAGGTAAGGGGAAAAGGCACCTATGAAGTCATCCTTTAACCGAGGTGCAACTTCTGAATAGAAACATCTATCACCAGACTAACACAGAGATGTATAGGGTGTGAAGCTCAAGCACGGATATGGGTCATGAGAAAAAAATGCTAACACAAGAAATTCTGATAAAGTAAATCCATAGAGGGATACGACAAAGCAAACCTAAAGCAGGATCTATAAAATGTATCTTATTTTTGCAACTTTTTGTATCAGTTTATTTTTGCAACTTTTAACAATGTTATATATCGAATGAATGATAAAAATAAAATAATAATGATAATGTTATTTAACTTATGATGCAAATATAAGCAGTAAAATCTTTGTTGTTCGTCGTATTAAAGTGCTTGATGTAAATTCTTATATTAAAAGCATATATAATCTCAATAGGTATAATGCATATGCTAAAAGAGTGACCGAAATCATAAGCATACTGAAACATGTATCTGGGAATACAATCTGATTGTGCTCTTTGGCTCACATTGTCAGTATTTTCTATCCTCGGAGAATGCAGGTTTCTCCTTGGCTGCATATGTTCAAATTTCAAACTTCACGATCAGATAATCGTAGGTCAACTTTTTGCCAATGGTGATCGAAAATGAAAAGGTTCTCTCCAATGCCTCTAAATTATAGAGGTTCCATAGTGAGTTCCTTCTAAGTTCTGACCTTTTGCTTCATTGAACACTCATGTGTGTAGGAGCCTATGAGGGTTACTGATTCTATGCCCATGCAATAGACCATTGAGTACAATGGGTCACATATGCAGATGGTCCTGCTTGTATTGTGTTACTCATTCATGTTCAACCTGGACGGATCCCTTAATGCTCAAACTAGGCTGATCAATGTGTTCAAAAACTATGGCTATTCAATATTTACATGTAATCGTGTATCCATAAAAGATGGTATGGCTAGTAAATGTTATGTGTGTTCTATACAATTCCTTAACAAAACCTTTAGTTTATTATGACATTTTTATAAGTGATATAATTTATTTGACAATTTAAAATGATGATATCATAAGTTTTAGTGCATATGAATACCTTAAAAAGGTTAAGGGTTCAAAACTTATTGAGTTTTTCCCTACTAAATACCAAGGTTTTAAATGTCGGTTATCGGGGATCTATCGGATAGTCAAAATCCTTATCGGATAGCGGAAATCGGGGATATATCGGGGATATATCGGGGATAAGTAGTATTTATCGGAGTAATATACTAGCAAATAATAAACAAACATAAGCTTGAAAAAAAATATAATGTTAGTCAAAATGGAATAATAAACAAGCAAATAATAAGATAACATCAAGAATGAAGAACCATCTACGCATCTACATAATTATTGTTTAATTATGAGATTCATAAACTAACTTACTAAGTTGATATTTAGTAGTTATGAGCCATTATCAATATCCATAAACAAACATAAGCTAATCACCAATCAACCAAGTTCCAAAAGCAACAAGTAGTTCATAATTTGTAAACATTCAAAGAACAAATCCAAAAGAAAGTAAAAGCTCCCAAATCGTACTTATCGGCCGAAAAAGCTGATATTTAGAGCCTACTTATCGGCCGATAAGTGCCTTTATCGCCGATAAACCGCAAAAAAACGATAACCGATTAAAAATTCTACTTATCCTAGCGGAAAGCTCCCAAATCCGATAAATCGGCGATACTATCGGATTATCGGACGATATTTAAAACCATGCTAAATACGCATCCAAGTTTTACCCTGATATACTTGGGGCGTTAGTAAATTGACTGTGGTTTGAGCCGCAATGCATGCCTATACATAGGGCTTAAAACTAGCGCTTAAAACAGTCCACTATATTAGGTTGTACTGTCGCGCTTGTAGATTGCATTGTAGATGTTATAATTTTCTGTACCATAACGTTTTGCTGCAAAGTCGTACCAACGTTCATTAAATGGGTCATTCTACAGACCTGCAATGCTAGAGGGTGGTAGCCACTGCACAAGATTTGAATGGGCCTTCTATTAGAAAACACGCACAGTACTATTTAGTACACAAATACACACAAAGAGATACAGGACAGCCAAATAAGCGACGAAAAAAGCATGAAACATGCACCCATTTTCAACCCCCTTTTATTATATCAATTTACCTGCTTATTTCATCTACAAGCTTAACATAACATTGAACCCTTTGATTTTCGGCATTTTATTTCTCTCAATATAAAACCTCGAAAGGGAAAAAACAGTTTCTATAAAGTTTTAAAATGGGAAATATTGTTTTATATTGTTTTATCTTGCTTTAAACTGATCTAATGATTGATCATGCAAATCCCATCATATTCCTACAACAAACTCATGTATACTATTAGATGTTAAGATTCCCTTATGCCCATATCAAAATCACTAGCACCAACTAATGAGCGTAAGATGATAAATTCCATCATAAAATATCTGGAATCCTAAATCACACTATTTTAGTCCAATACTATCTTAATTAGACTATCCTCGCATGTTTGCCACATGATACTGCACCAATTATATGTAAAATTAGCCCATATCAACTATGATAAAATAACTACATGTCACAAACAAATATCAAAGACATTTCAGAAACTATAAGCAAGCAACTAGCAAATTAAACCACGGATAAAACTAAGACATATCTTAAGCCGAATTTCAGAGTAGAGATAAAAATTAAAACACGTCTCCTTAGTAGCATTCAAGTAGTTTCAAGGAACACGCATAAATTACTAAGTAAAAGAGAGCAATGGAATTACTACCTTTCCAAATGGTACATAAGAAGGCAATGAAGGTACTGTTCGCCATCGCCTAGAGTTCCCAGCCATGATGTTATTCTTTAAGTCTATCAAGTTTCCATTTGCTTCAATAGGCATTCCATCTTCTTTCTTGGGAAGTGGATTAAGTGAAATCCCTTCAGAACCCTCTTCAATTTCAAGGGATTGTGGTTCTGTTTCAGCTTCATCAACTGTCAATGATCCACCACGATCTGCAATAGGGGATACTTCTACAAACCCATTTTCTACTCGTCGAAATCTGCTTAGATGTTTCCGGACACCCTCTAGAGGGACTAGTTTAGAAAGTCTCCAGACAGATGTCTGAAGGGGGCCTAGGCCCAATACAAGCTGCTCCCCATTAGTCTCTTTAGACTTGGTTATACTTGGCACTTTGTTCAGCTCTTCACTTTTAACTAATATCGTATGAGAATTACTTGAAGTAGGGGATTCTTGCACTGTTTGTGAATTATAATGGTGAAAATAAGCAGGAGACAAGATACGAGGCACCAGATCTTCTGGAATACAATATGTCTTGAAGTAATGCTGCCATCCTTTCCGATCAACATACCTAGTGTAAAGCCAATAAATATGCAACAAAAACTATTATAAGAATTTAAATAAATAGGCAGAAAAGAAAGCAATTGTCTGTAAGAACCCAAGTCGAGCTCATGCTAAACATGAGATCCGGAATCTGTCAGAGGAGAGATCTATCCCTCCAATCCACTCGAAATGGATATTTAAACGCAGAGTTTTTTAAGAAAACAAAGACATCCTCAATAGTTACTAATTGACTATTCGCAAACTAACATACTCTTTCAGAGCAGCATTTCCGACAGCAGGTTGAGAGAAAGTGATACACTTTACTTCAACTTCTTCATGATCTTTCGAAAGGGTAGTGGAAGAAAGAACTCTCAGTATTGCAAGTGTAGCCAGCGCTGCGACCTGCAAAAAGTAAATGCAGACACTATAGATGCTAGAGTGCAAGATTCTAACTAAAGGATCAGGAAAAATATTTTTCTTACTGCACCACCAAGTGAATGCCCACAAAGGACAAGCTTTCTCTTCTTTTTTATGGCAAGCTTGTATAACTCCAGTGCTGGAATTCCTTTAGCACGAGCCAAGAATCCCTGCAAACCAATGAGCACTACAATCCGTAAGTATTTGGGATCAGCTATATAAGTTATAGATGTAGGACCATGATAAAATCATGATAAACTAATCAATTTCACAAACTCAACCCTGTGGGCAGCAGGCCTTGAGGCCTTCTTTATTGGCGGCTTTACTCTAGATTCTTCATTCTTCTTTTGGATGTCAAGCTGGTCGGTTTCAACACCATCAACCACATCAAATTGTTCTGCATCTTCGTCATGGAATATGGCTCCTTGAAAAATATTTACATCAGCAATAACATCCCTATAAGGACATTAAATGGAGAACCGCAGTTAAACATGATTAATTTTGAACTAAAATGGCATCGTGCTTAGGTTCATGCTTACTTGTATTGTTTTGTTCCAATAAATGAAGCAAATAATGTGTCTTCTGACTCCGCTAACAGGTACCTTAAAAGAAGAAAAAGAAAATTATAAGACAGGTCATGATATCATAAAGATTTATCAGTATAAATATCAAAAAATATTCCACACAAATGGAAATTTATATAATGTTGCTAGATTAATGCAAAATGACTTATAAAATCAGATGTATTGCAAATGATCATGAGAAAAACAGTTGACCAGTCATGTACCCTAAATCTTTATTATGATATGTGTTTGCATACGGGTTTTCTGCATACAGCAGGATATTTATCAGTATAATCGCTTGGCTGTATGTCAAAAGTGTCAGTATATGCCCTCCCTCACAAACTTCTCTAGTTTCATGACATTAAGTGGAAGTACCTTTTACTTGAAATGAAAGCAGATTTAGCCAGACTAAAGTAAAATAACATTTAATTGGTGTAGATTAATATTAACTTACTCTACCACAGTGGACAGGATATAGGTAGAATCAACAGGTGTCCTTATGTATACTGAAAAGTGAAATAGTCGGTGGGAACAGTTGGAGGTTGGCTTGAGTGCCCCTTTAAGCCTACCGTGGAATACAGAAGTAGAAATAGAGGCCTATAGATAATGAACTACAAGAAAGGGTGAGAGGACAAGCACAAGATAAATATCTATAGATGGATACAACCCTCCCCCCAAAGAGATAATAACCAGTGTTATCAATGTGCATTGGGGGGGGGGGGGGGGGGAACCTTTACGCACACGTGCGCAAGGAGCAATGCGTTGCACGCGCCCAAGTGAAGTGAGGCGCGCACCACATACATATTTTTTTCAAGATAGATAATCAAGCACGGAAGAACATGTTTATGAATTTTCACATAAACTATGTGAAGATAAATAATATCTACTATAAAATAACAAATTAATGTCTTAAATCATCACGATATCACGCCCAACATAGTAGTAAAATTCATAATTTTCCAAGTCGACAAATATCGAAGCAAAATCAACGAGTAAACGAGAAAGGGCTAGGGTCCTCAATCGGGCTAATAAAATGGCTTAATGGGTTTATTTTCTTTTTGGGATACAGATTATCAATATCAAGTACAAAGACCCAATTGAAATGTTAAAGAACAAAAATATTCAAGACTACGCCTTCCATGCACCTTGTGCAAAGCACCCTTGCGCAAAGCACCCTTGCGCAGGCGCTTGCGAGGAGCAAAAAGGCACCGCCACGTCAGATGCGGGGCACTTCGCCACCACCCCGCATCGCAGGGCCATGAGGCGCGCGCATTTGATAACACCAACCACAATATAAATATATATAGATGGCTACAACAACAAGAAGACACATACAAAGGATGAGAGAACAACCACAATATAAATATCTATATATAGCTACAGGACAAAACAAATGGGTGTTTAGGGAGTAATGGTTGTGTTCGTGCTCTGATTTTTCATCTATTCTTCCACCAAACTCAATGCTTTTGAACAGTAAAGAAAAGCTATTCTACTGCCCTTTAAGTTGGGTACTTGAGTGAAAGCATTATTGTGCAAATGCAAAAAATGAAGATGTCAGATTGTTTTCATCCGTGGTGCAACAAGAGATCAAAGAAAGCCCTCAATAGAAGACCCAAAACCAAAGCAAGAGGCATTAATCATACCGCCTCTCTAAGGACGCTTCAAGGTACCTTAGTGATAAACATCAGAGTTACTTTCTGAAGCCTCACGTTGAGATGCGGAGAAAGGAAAGAGTTGTATAAGACATCTACGAACAAGCGGGACAATTATAATAGAATACTGTACTATGCAGAAAATGAGATTCAATAGTATGGCATAGTGATCTCAAGTTGCAGCAGTCTAATCTAATCTCAAGAAGTTCTAGCTTGTAAATGGTAATCAATGCCTCGGAAGTGTTTATTACCGTTCAAGATGTAACTCCAGAACACATGCCACATCTAATTATTTAGCATATTTCACTATTCGGAATTTATGAAAGTTAGGTCCTTTTCTTTTAACACTAGGTAATAGGCCCAACATGAGTTTAGTGATAAATCTCAGTGATCCCACTGTTCAGTTTATAGTAATAATTGTTTTAATTTATTGGATTTATTAATGGTATGTGTGTTAATCTGACAGTATGCAAACAATTCTTGAACATGACGAAGTAACACAATTTAATACCTAGACATATAAACTGAAAAAGAGTCTAAACAAAAAGAAACAAGAGGAATACAATATGTGATAACAGAAAACCAAGCTACCAGTCTGGTACGTGTCTATTGCCAGTTAAGATGTAACTCCCGATCACATACCATGTCTAAATATTTAGCATTAATTTCACAATGCAGAATCTAAAAAACATACATCTTTTTATACATACACTAGTGACTAGTTAATAGGCCCAAGATGTGTTTACTGATGCATCTCACTGATCTCACTATTCAGTTTATAGTATTCATTTATTGGATTTCTTAAATTATTATATACAATTATATAGTATCCATTTATTGGAGTTCTTAAGTTATTATATACAATTACATTATTCATTTATTGGATTTCTTAAGTTACCATATACAATTAAAGTATTCATAATAGGATTTCTTAAGTTATTATATACAACAATTCTTGAATATGACAGCAGTAACATAATTGAACAGCTAAAAATATAAAATGGTACAGGAGTCTAATAACAAAAAGAAATAAGAGAAAATACAATGTTTGACAATATAAAATTAATCTACCGGTGTGGTACGTGATCTAAAGAAGGCTGAACGCGGTCGAGAGATACAATTTGTCCTCCAAAATCTGACTTGAACTTGTTAATAAAGCGAAGCATCTCAGCGGCAGGCCTCTGCATATAAGAGAAAATTAAACAGAGTACTCAAATTCTCTGCAATTTCAGCAAATAATACTTAAGTAGAGTGTGCTGATGCTGGCACTAACTAATGGCAATTTTGGATTATAATCCACTTGTCTTATAATCCACAAATGGATTATAAGCTAGTGTTTGGTAAATTTAGTGGATTATACTCCATTTTTTAATAGTAGAGTGTTAGGCAAATGGGTGGCCTTAGGCAAATGGGTGGCCTATAAGTCATCATTGTTGTCAAAATAACCAAAAAGCATTTAATGGGTTAGAGAGATAAATGAAGCTTGAAATTTTGTGAAATGTTGAGGGTTATATTAGTCTTTTACTTGATCAAACCTTGTGGCTTGGTACCATCGCTTATTTTTGGGTGGCTTATAAGCCAAAATAAGCCACTTGCCAAACATGCTCGAAATCACTGGCTTGCTAAATATAATTCCATCAGATTATGACGGGATATTGATATATGGATCAACAATTCCTACAAATTCAAGATCGGTGGATGGCAAACAACGTGTGTGGGTGAGCTAGTGGGTGGGCTGTGGGTTGGGGGCATCAGGTGTGGTGGGAATGGAGAGAAAGAGAAAGGAAGGAGGAATTCAATTACGGAGAAGGAAATGGAGAAAGCTTGAAGCTAGGTTACCTGGACACTATGTTTTAGGTGCCGTATCCGTGTCAAACACATGCCAGACACAGATTCACCGCCAATACGCCATGGACATGTGTGATTCAATGAAAACTCTGATTTCCCTATTACTTATAACCCTAAACTAGTTTCTTTGGTATATTGAGCTCAAAACCAATAAGTTTTTGTACTTGAAAACCAACACCATTGCTTAAAGATTTGAAAAGTACCCACGTATCACATGCTACCAAAACTAAACTTTTATCGTTAAACCTTAAAACCTTACTTCTTTGTTTGATTTAACTTGATTCTTAAATCTTAGAGATATTAAAAGAAACATACAAATGTTAAGGGTATTTTAACTTAATATTTGATCTAATGTGTGTATGTGTATATGTGTGTGTATGTATGTGTGTATATATATAAACACATGCACGTATGTGTCTACGTGTCCCCGTATCCTACCTTCTGCAATTTTGTCGTGCCCAATGTCCGCACCCGCACCCGTATCTATGCAACCCAGGCTTGAAGCATATCCCAACATAAGTGGACACATGCACGCCTGAGCTTTCTAGTTTAGTTATATATTTTGTGCATTTTTTTAAAGACTATTGTCTATTTCTTAAAGTTTGTTCTCGTCCTAGATTAACAACATAGATAGAAACCATGAACCAAAGGGAAGAGCTCATTCCATCTATGACTATATCATAGTAATTTCATTAGAGCATAAACCTAGTTGAGGGGTACAAGCTGCAAAGAACTCCATTTCCAACATGACTCTCAAGCGGGTCCCCGAAGGGAGCAACATATTGGAAAGAGGTCTACTACCAGCTTAGAAAATTCTGAAAATCAAGAGACTCATGTATGCAGGTGAAAAGACACCCTGCATAGTATGACATCATTACTTAATCTTCTTTCAGTTTGTAAGTGTTTTAATTAATTAGATGAAGAGAATTTGAGCAATATTATAGTGTCAATGGAGGGCAATGAGATGAGGGTTTTCTCTCTCTCAAGTAGCCAAGAACTTTTATCCACAATATAGTAAGGGTCCAAGATCATTGCATAAAAGAGGCAGGTTGGAGGGTTGTGTCGCCTTGTCGAGGGTTGTCTAGAGGATGTATTGACTTGGGAGAAATCAAAAGTCTAACATTAGGGTTTATTTCATGGAGGCTTGACCAATGTCATGCTGAGAGTTGTTATGGATCAAATTCAAGGGGTATGCAAGTTTGATTCATCAAGGACCTGTTTGGTTCGCTTATATTTTTAGGATTTAGGGTGGAATAACAATTCCAGGGCAATTAAGTGGTACTTTTACAAAAAAGGGATCTATATCCTTAGTTTCAATAAATTTGGGAAAAGATACCCATAAAACCCAAAAAGCAACTAAATTTTCGAATGTCCCAAATCCTCTCGAGGATTTGGGTGGATATCTAACAAACCCATTTCACATCATATCTCACTCTCATTTCTCATTCTCTGTTCGTGACCTAACTAGGGATTATTGTCACCTCCCTCACCATTTTCATTCCCTTCTATTTTACGCCCCCCCCCGGTTCCTTCACCCTTTTTCATTCTCCGCTCCTGACCTAACCCGAATCTTTTTCAAGAATGCAATCTACATACCAATTGCAAAAAACTAGATGACGCAGCCCATTCATGTCCATAGAATAGATCTATATTTGAGCCCCATGCATTATATTTCAAAGCAATTTGCAAGTACATGGCATAATGGTTACAAACTTACAATGATAAGAAGGATGCAAACAACAGCCAGAAATAATGCACATATTTCCCTAGTATTAACTTGGTTTTTTACAACTCTCAAATCTTCCTTGAGCTTATTGATTTTCATAGCATTTTTTCACATACATTGCTTTCATTGACAAATTTCATGGAGTTGTAGCTGGATTCACCATCAGTATTAGCCCACACAAAGAAATTACATTCCTTCTTTGGGTACTTTGCACATCCCCAATAATATCTTCCTTTGTTCTTGTCATTTTTGCAAATATTCAATGGTGTTGGGATCTTACAATTGCACCAAACATCATACCTTTCAATTCTCTCTTTTGATAGCATATTTGTTGCAATAATCAGTTCTGAAAATAATTTTACTGCAAATTTTTTCCCATGCTCAAAGACCCATAGATGCATCAAGTTTTATAGCAAAGATTAAGCCCAAAAAGATTCGTTTATAGCCGTTGGAAGTGTGTATATTAAGGCAATATATTTGGTATGATTACCCCTTGTAATATGATGATTATTGGCTTTATGTGGGTGGTAAGCTCACCAAAGGTGATTTTATATAGGTATTCCATTTCTACTTTCCCATCTTTTTAGATTTGAACCAAACAAGAAATTACAAATTCTAGGATTTGTTTTCCTATAATCATGTTGAACCAAACAAAAGATTAGGAATTCCAGGGCATGTATAAAAAACTATGGATTTGAAATTCTTGATGGGGATACCATATCCTATAAGTTTAGGATTTGAACCAAACAGGCCCCAAGGTCATTTGAGTTCAAGCTTGGACCAAACAGTAAATTCTCGATTAGATATTTTTGGTTGTGTTTTGTCTTTGGTCCCACATCTATACCTTGGAATAATATCTTCAAGGTTTCTAGATCAATATTAGAAAATTATAAAATCAATTAAGTAAATATGGTCTTACAATATGAGATCCAAGACAATAAAAGCTATTGTAAATTGCATTCGTTCTCCTTCTCTCGACTCTGACCTTTGGTAGAAGCATATTATCGACAAGTATTCTAGTAGAGGTTCTGCTGTGTATGGATTCTGGTGAACATCAAGCTGATTTTCTAAGCATATTTTCTACAATTATTCATCCATCCTTCTCCCTTCCTCCAATTTCGTTTTTGACATTTTACCACAACCATATTTAAGGTACAGTGCAGTATTTACCCAATATCAAACTGGTTTTTTTTTAAATTAGATTGGGTTTTGAATTTTAGCCAGTAATGAACTAAAACTCGCACGTGCATGGTTTTCCAAGATCAAAGCCTCCGGCAAGGAAAAATCATTTTCCAGTAAAATCTTGGACCATGTTACCCATAAAAGGAATTTCATATCATACTTTTATCCTACTTGAGGAGAATAATATACAATATATATCCCTTAGTTACTTTAAAAGTAATTTTTTTTTTAAATCCAGACTTTTACCAAGCATCAAAGGGTTCTATCTACAAATAAGCAATGAGACTTCCAATAAATACATCAATTTTATCAAGTCTGACAAATACCTATACATCAATTTTGTTAGAATTAGTTCCTTTTTCATGTATCTCAGCCCTTTATATATAAAAAAATCAGGCCTTTTTACAACTAATTCTGACAAAGCTTGCAAATTTCTCGGGGAAATACTTCAAACTCAAAAGTGGTGAGAGACTATTACCTTGTAAACGCACTCAGAGAGGACCATGGAGCAGAGGACTTCTTGTAAGTCAGCGACGGACTCGGCCTTGAGGGCGCTGCAGAGATCGTTGATGCAGCCATGACGAGATGCCCATTCTTAGGGTTTGGTCCTTGATCCACGACTCTACTCGGCTCTTCAAAGATCCCATTTTTCAGAGGATTTTTTTTTTCGCTTCTCCTCCTTTGTTTTTTTCGCCCTTTGATGAAGAGACAGCATGTGCCGAAGGCATCGGGAGAGAGAAGCAATCAAATAAGCGGGGCCCACCACCATGGGCTGCTATTACCCAAAGCCCAGGGCTATTGCTTCCCATGTGCATTTCAATTACGACTGTGTAGTAGTGGGGTTGTTTGCGCGCATATATATACTAATATACCCCTTGCATCATGACCATTTGCAAAAATATCTACTAAATCTTAGTGTTAGGCTTAGGGACCACCCCTCAAATCATCAACTTAAAAAAAATACCCCTACAAATAATAAATCATCAATTTGGCGCTAAAGTTTTGACTTTTTGTTGATAATTTTTACATTGCAATTACAACTAAGCTTATCAAAGTTGATGATTATCGCACCTTACATCTATTGCAATCACTTTTAACTATCGCATGCCATATAACTATAAATCTACACTAAAGGGGCTGTTTGGTTGGACGGAGACAGAGTTGCAAGTATGTATAACAACATAATTTGTAAATACATTGGTTGAAAGATGGCTTTGTAATTAGAAAAGGTAAATGGACTTGCATTTTGAAGAAAAAAAATTGCAACGAGTATAAATCCCACCTCATCGAATTTTTTTGAAATCCAAATAGAAAACTACCTCAACCAAACTTCTCTTATATTGTTAAATTATGTAGCTTTTGCATTAATTTTTTAAACGAACACTGAATTTGCATTGAGAACATATTTCCTAGAATATATATGCAAACATCCAAATGGTGAAAGTGAAGCTGATTTCATGTAGCAAATATTGCATTTGCTGCAATTTATTTTTGCAGCAAATTAGACGGCTCCTAACTCTTGTACAACTTGGGGCTTGTTTGTTAATTGGAAACTAAATGGAAAGTGAACGAATAATTGGAAAGTGGTTTTACTTTCTATTTTCCCCGTTTGTCACTTGGAAAGTGGGTGGAAAGTAAACGGAAAGTAAAGCACACCAGGTAGCCACTTTCGCTTTCTTTAAAAAAATGGAGAAAGTGGATAGAAAATGAAGAGAGAGGAGAGAGAATTTATTTTTTTATTTTCTTTAGGTTTCAAAACTTTTTTTTGTTTAGTTTTTGATCTGTCATGGCTTCATATTTCTCCAATCAAACAAACATGCACGAGAGAACCTTGCAAAATATTATTCACTGGTAATTCAGAGTGGAAAATTGCTTATTAGTAGCATGATGAATTCGTATAGGACAATAAGCTTTTTAATTGCTATCTGAATGAAACTTTTCAAGTGTCATATTCAATGATATGGTGTTCTCTAAAGCAATAAGTAGATTAATGGTCCCAAAAGCAGAAATTAGTATCACCTGTTATCTCACAAGTGAGACCGAAAAGAATTACTTAACTCATGAACTCAACAATCGACACAAGCACTGAGCTCAAGAAATGCCCCCATTGACGAGGATCACCTAGACAACGACGTGCGCATGCTCCTCATGGCATCCGGCACCTCAGAGTAGAAGAACTCGAGCATGCTAACCAACGTAAACATGTCAGAGACACCAAGCAAGAATTGCCATCCAAGCTCTTGATGAAGCAGTAGTGGTCTGTGTCGTATTTGAGAAAAAAGTTCTCCTTCATAAAGTTCTCGAACTTCATGTACCACTGTCGTGCAGCTTGCTTCAGGCCATATAAGCTCTTGGGCAGGCGACACACGATGCTTCGAAGCCCACCGGTTGATGCATATAGATCTCTTTCTCCAAATCTCCATGAAGGAATACCGTCTTTACATCCATCTGCTCTAGATGGAGATCTTGAACTACCACAATGCTCAGCATAGTCCAAATCGTGGTCAAATTGACGACGGGAGTAAAAATGTCAGAATAGTTTATCCCTGCTTTCTGCTCATAGCCCTTCACTACAAGCCTCGCCTTGTAGCGTCTCCGTCCATCAGCTTCATCCTTGACCCGATAAATCCACCGATTGTGAAGAGCATTTTGCCCTCTTAGAAGCTTTAAGAGCTCCCAAGTCCTATTCCTCATCAATGATTTTATTTCTTCCTCCATGGCAGACTCCCACTCGCCCCGAGCTTTTGCTGGTCTGTTGTGCCTCCTTATAGATCTCTGGCTTACCAATGTTAGTCAGGAGAAGATAATTCATGGTGTAAAGATATCTCTCTGGCATCCTCGGATTTCTTGGAGCTTTGTGAATTGCGATCGACAACTCTGTTGAATCCTGCTGCTGTGCATCCGGCATGTTCTCTTGATCTCCGTCTTCTATGTTAATTGGTATCTCACCATCGTCCTCACTATCAGCAATATCTGGGAAAAGAGGGGGAGATAGCTGACTCTCACTCACCTCTTTGGTCTTGTACACCATATTCTCATGAAACACGACATCATGACTGCGCACCACCTTCCTCATATCGTAATCCTAAAAATGGTACCCATACTCATCCCCTCCATAGCTGATGAAAGAGAGCTTTTTTGACATTGGATCAAGCTTTGACCGATCTGCAGGATTGGCCATGACATAGGCGTCACAACCAAATACTCGTAAGTGCTCTAGCTTCAGTTTCTTTCCGATACAAGCCTCCTCAGGTATCCCATACCTGAGAGCCACGGATGGTTCGTGGTTGATTAAGTATGCAACGGTATTGACAGGTTCGGCCTAAAAACTCTTGGGCAATTCGGAGTAGATCCTTATATTTCTGGCGTGCTCCAAAATAGTGAGATTCATACGCTCCGCCACTCTGTTGTGCTGAGGTGTGTCTAGGACGGTCTTCAGACTCCTAATCCCATGGGACGAGCAAAAATTTTTAAACTCCTGTTTGCAATACTCGCATTCATTATCAGACTTTAGGCACTTCAGCTTATTGCATGTTTCGTTCTCCACACAGGCAAGCCACTTCTTAAAAATAATAAAAACATCTGACTTGTGCTTCAAGAAGAACACCCATAGTTTTCTAGTAGCATCATCAATAAAAGTGACAAAGTAAAGAGAGTTGCCAACAAATAAGACTTGTGCAGGTCCCCACACGTCGGTGTGCACCAACTCCAATTTCTACAGTTTAAGAGCCGGTCCGACCTTGTTGAAGCTCACCTTCTTTTATTTGCCTAGGATGTAGTCCTCATAGAAAGTCAGATCGATCTTACTCAGACCCGTAAGCCTCTCTTTCGTGACCATAATCTGCATCCCCTTCTCGCTCATGTAGCCAAATCGTCGATGCCAAGTCATGCAGTCAACAGATGATGATGATGATGATTGTCATGCGGCAAGCAAGCGGTCGATCTTCCCATTGGTGATGTAGAGAGACCCTTCGTGTTTGCTGTGTACCACCACTAGGGCACCCTTGGACACCTTCCAGCTTCTCTGCTTGAAGGATACTCTATAACCGGAGTCAGTCAGTTACCCGACTGATATAAGATTTCACCTGAGATCCGGTACATCCCGAATGTCGTTCAGCATCAAGGTGATCCCTCCATCTTGAGGGTACAATTTTCCTTCTCGAAAACCTTACAAGGTTGATCAACGCCAAGATAGACTGTCCCTAAGTCCTTCTTCACGAACGATGAAAGCAGTTTTTGTTGTGAGGTTGCATGGAAAGATAAGCCAAAGTCAATGACTCACACATCGTTTTTGTCTTCTAGGGATAGGAGAAGCACATCTGAATCCGTCTCGTATGTGAGATTGGCTGTACCGTCAGCCTGATCATCCTCTGCTAATGCTGGAACAGAAACTCTATATTCTCGTACAAGTGACCCTTCTTTTCGCATCTGAAGCACTTCCCTTCACCGTAACCACTCGGGTTTAGCCCTTTATACTTCCCTCTAGATTTTGATTGGTCTCATTGTCCCCTACACTTCTTCTTCACATGCCCTCGTGCCTCGACATGCAGAGTACTCCCACTGCTAGAGGCCTCAGCTCCTAAGACTTTGCGGTGAGATTCTTTATCTAAAATTGCCCCAATCACTGTGTTAAGCTTCATCTTGTCATTACCATTGGTGTTGCTCACCGTCATCACCATATTCTCCCATGAATATGGTAGATAAGAAAGTAACAGAAGAGGTTGGATCTTATTGTCGAACTTGAGATCTACTGCAACAAGCTGTTGTACTACAACCTAAAATTCATTCAAGAAGTCCGACACATGAGCTCCTTGTTGCATCTTTAGATTGAATAGTTTCTTTATCAGGTACACCTTATTTGAAGCAGACGACTTCTCATACAGCGCCTCCAAGGCCTCCATCAACTTCTTGGTGATGGTCGCATGCGAGACGTTGTAAGCCACATGCTGGTGAAGATTGAGCCTGATTGTGACAAGTGCTTTATGATCAAGCATATTCCACTTATCGTCGTCTATTTTCTTAGGTTTCCCTACCTCTCCTTAGAAGGATAGGAAGAGATCATTCTGGTATAAATAGTCTTCTATTTGTATCCTCCAATACCTAAAAGTTTGGCCATTGAATTTCTCAATTCGAAGCTTGTTGTCTTCAACCGTAGATCCCATAGCGAAAATTTTCGTCTTTTCTCGAATCGTATTTGTGAATAGTAACAATACTTATGAATAGTACTAGTACCATACTCATGAATAGTGCTCAGTTCCTTTAAAGATTATATGATAATCTAACTTATTTTCTGATGCGGAGGATCCATTTTTAGTGGCAGCCACAGAGCATACGATAAGCAGAGATATATATACTCTAAATCAGACTCTGATACCAGTTGTTAGGATACACACCAACAAGAACGCCTCAAACGGAGACACAAAAACATACCCAAGCAGATACAAATTCAATCACAATACTCACAGATATAACGTGGTTCACTCTTACAGAGCTACTCCACGGTGTAACGATGATGCCCAATTTCTTTATACTCCAAAAGAAAAGGATCAAAGAGAACACCCTCTCTTGAT